GGCCAAGGCCGTCTACGAGAAGATGTTCCTGTGGATGGTCACCCGCATCAACCAGCAGCTGGACACCAAGCAGCCCAGACAGTACTTCATCGGGGTCCTGGACATCGCCGGCTTTGAGATCTTTGATGTGAGTTGTTGGAATAAGCGGCCCTGTTAAGGCCCCTCCGCTTCGTGTCTGCTCTGCCGACTTCCCCCTGGGTTTCCCAAACTCACTTGAGCTCTTTGGTGTTTGCAACGCCCTAGTTCAACAGCCTGGAGCAGCTGTGCATCAACTTCACCAACGAGAAGCTGCAACAGTTCTTCAACCACCACATGTTCGTGCTGGAGCAGGAGGAGTACAAGAAGGAGGGCATCGAGTGGACGTTCATCGACTTTGGGATGGACCTGGCTGCCTGCATCGAGCTCATCGAGAAGGTTCGTATGACTTGTAAAGAAAGGCTGACTGCAAGGACAACCCTCCCAAGTGTCTGAAGCAATTCTAGAAAGTATCACTGTGATCTAAATAGATGGATATCAGAATTCCTCGTTAGAACAAACTCCCTCTTTTCAACTTTTACATGAGAAGGATCAGTGTTTAGTTTTGTTGTGTTCTGAACGGTTTGGTTCTAACAGCAACGCAACCCGGTTTTTAAGCAGCTCTGAGAACTCAACTGAGGTGATGTGCTCTACTACCAGAAGTACCTCATTAGTCCTCAGTCTACCTCTGCTACGATCCCAGGTGTCAGCAGCAAAAATAAGTCTTTTTTCTAGATAAAAAGTAGTACACATGTAACCCAGCTAAGGCCTGTATGAAAGGTAATCTGTTCACAAGTCAAGAAGTCCAATTACTTATGCTTTCCCATAATCTATCTTTAAGGAGATTAAATACAGAAAATGTCTTAAATAAGGTTTGGGTTATTTATACTATTCAATTACTGCACTTAAAGGAAACATCACTCTAAGTCAGTAAGTCCTTTACGTAGCAAAATAAAACAATGACAGCAGATTAATTCACTCAATAGGCAAAAAGTGTGATGATACAGAAGATTTTAACAAACTGCCCAGACGTGCTCTGCTGACATTTGGACTCTGAATTCAGCTATTCTTTTAACTGAAAATGTTGCTTTGGATTGAATATGGCAAGGAATGGTGGAAACATCATTCTAGTGATAACAAAAGGACTTCTTTGTGAGCTATGACTCTATTTTATTTTACAGATTTTTTAATTGGCAGTCCTAATAATTTAATCAAATAAAGCCACCATGTCTGTATCTTTTGAGAGAAGGCAGGTTGACACTAATATCCACCTTTCTGAATCCAGCCACTGGGCATCTTCTCCATCCTGGAGGAGGAGTGCATGTTCCCCAAGGCCACGGACACCTCCTTCAAGAACAAGCTGTATGACCAGCACCTGGGCAAGTCCGCCAACTTCCAAAAGCCCAAGGTGGTCAAGGGCAGGGCCGAGGCACACTTCTCGCTGATCCACTACGCCGGCACCGTGGACTACAACATTGCCGGCTGGCTGGACAAGAACAAGGACCCCCTGAATGACACCGTGGTTGGGCTGTACCAAAAGTCCGCAATGAAGACTCTGGCCAGTCTCTTTTCCACATATGCTAGTGCTGAAGCAGGTACTTTCTGTGCCTTCAATCTATATTAAACCTATTCCCCCAGAATGTCCATACAACATTCCAGCCTCTAGGATTCTATGTTAATTGATGGGTTTTTCTTTCTACCTCAGACAGTGGTACAAAGAAAGGTGCTAAGAAGAAGGGCTCCTCTTTCCAGACTGTGTCAGCCCTCTTCAGGGTAAAGTACAAAGTCCATCCCAAAATCCTATTTTCTTTTTTTTAATGTTTTTTTTTTTTTTTTGAGAGAAAGAGAGAAAAAAAGAGAGAGACAGAGGGAGAGCAAGTGGAGGAGGGGCAGAGAGAGAGGTAGACACAGAATCCGAATCCAAAGCAGGCGCCAGACTCTGAGCTGTCAGCACAGAGCTCAATGCGGGGCTTGAACTCACAAACTGTGAAATCATGACCTGAGCTGAAGTCGGACCTTAACCGACTGAGCCACCCAGGTGCTCCTCAAAATCCTATTAAGTTTCTATGAATTATCATAATTACAAGGTTTGAAATAAATTAGAATGGAATAGAATGTTCTAATATTCTCTTATCATGGTAGAACCAAAGCAAAACCACTCTTACAGGGTCAGATGCTTTACCCATTATCCCTCATTATGATCATCTGATGTACTGAGGAATGCCAAAACATCCGTAGAAGCTTCCTTATTACATAATCAGGCTGATTTTTAAAGAAGCATAGCTGAACTTCAAGGCTGTCCCTAGGGAAGCCGTATCTTTATTCTACTAATGTTGCCCTTTGAGATGCTCCCGAGTTCCTGTTTGAGAAGGAACCAGAGATACACTCTTTAGGACATCCCTCCACCAAAACACATCTTCATCCTCTGAGGTGGATTTAATTTTTTGTAATGGCTGGAAATCATCTAAAGCCAAGCCTAGTGATATATGGATGATTAAGCTTAGAAAATATATCTTGAGATTAAAATAACAACAATTTTACTACAAATAATGTGATTTTGTTAGGTAGCTTAAAAACTGTCACCTCCAAAGGGATGTGTGTGAAATGTCTGGATTAATGACTGCTTTGTCAGAATCTGTATGGCTAAGTCTCATTCCTTTTAAAACTAAAATGAGGATATAATCCATGACTGAAACAGTAAAACCAGCCTGTCCTTTTTCTTTCTATCAAATTGCATTATCTCATGGAGGCTCTTGCTTCATCAACTCATCCTTGTATGTATCTTCAAGATTAGAAGCTCACAGTAATTATTTTATTTCTGAATAGTTAAATGAGACATGAAAGAAAAAAAAAAGCCACTCTGCCTTCTCAGAGTATACCTAAGAAATATTTACATGTGAGTTTCCTATAGTTGAGTAAAACATCATCATCGGTCATAAACAGTTATTCAACTTCTGGAATAAGTCCTTCCAGATGCTTCAGACCATGGATCATTCTTCCTATGCACCCGAAATCCACCTAAACAAGGTTATATAGTCTCTGGATTTTAGACTCTTCAAAAAAAAAAGACAAAACAATACAAAACAAGAAGTCACAGGTCCCAGGGAATAATAAACTTGAGGAAGGAATGGCTAACCTAGGTTACCACTGTAAACTACTACTGTGAAAATTACCAGCACTGAGACAGACGGAAGAGGCCTTAGAGGTAATCTCAACTCTTCAGATTAAGGCCCAGAGAGTCGAAAGGGATTTTACAGAGTCAAGCAGCTCATTAGCTGGCAGAACGAGACCACAGTCTTTTGTCTTCTGATTCCCAGTTGAGAACAATTCCTATGCATCAAGGCTACTGGATTTGCAGCTTGTTTATAAGGCAGACCCTAGATGTTATAAATGAATACCTTTACAGAGCTGCATTCTTCCCAGCACTTTGACCTGGTGGTTATTTGGCAGGCTAGAGCTCTTGAGACGTTTAAAATACAGAGCAATCGAAGCCTAATAGGCTAATACCTAACAGTTAAGAGAGTGTCTAGGTTCAGTCCAAATAATTACCAAAAAAAGCAATCTTAAATAAAACTTCCTCATCAAGAACTTCCTTCTGTCTGGTTTTCTAGGAAAATTTAAATAAACTGATGACCAATCTGAGGAGCACACACCCTCATTTTGTACGGTGTATCATTCCCAATGAAACCAAAACTCCTGGTAAGATATAAGAGCATGAAATAATCAAACAGGCACAAATTTGAAAATGGACTACCCAAAACTAAGTACTCTTCTATTTGCAGGGGCCATGGAGCATGAACTTGTCCTGCACCAGCTGAGGTGTAACGGAGTGCTGGAAGGCATCCGCATCTGCAGGAAGGGATTCCCCAGCAGAATCTTATATGGGGATTTTAAACAAAGGCCTGTCTCTCTTTGTTTGTACTTCACTGCATGCTGCAGACCATTCTGTCACCTTAACTGTTGTCCTCTGTGTCTCATGTATCCTGTGTCTCATGTACCCTACTCAGTGAATACTGTAAAATTAAGAAGTCAAATAATATAGTCCCGTGGTAGCAGGGCAGGAGAACAGTTCAAAGGGGTGGTATTTCTTACAAACAGGAAGAAGGCATGCATTAGGCAAAAGAAAAATCACATTGTTTTACTGTTGGAACTTAAAAGGACATGTGGATTTTCTACTTTTACTTTCTCTCTGATTTTTGTTAATGCTTCTTTTTGGTGTCTCAGTTTCCACATATAATCACACCTCCCTAATAATTCTTTTCTGTTTCACCGAACAGATACAAAGTTTTAAACGCAAGTGCTATTCCAGAAGGACAGTTCATCGACAGCAAGAAGGCTTCTGAGAAACTTCTCGCCTCTATTGATATTGATCACACCCAATATAAATTTGGGCATACCAAGGTATAGCTGTTATCTATGCATACCTGACCCATTCCCTTCACCATTTCTGCATCTTCTGTACTATGGGGATGACATGGGATTCACTTTTCCTCCAGGTGTTCTTCAAAGCTGGCCTTCTGGGTCTTCTGGAAGAAATGAGAGACGAAAAGTTGGCCCAGATTATAACAAGAACTCAAGCTGTCTGCAGGGGATTCCTAATGAGGGTAGAATATCAGAAGATGTTGCAAAGGAGGTAAAAGCTGTGCAGATTATCAGAACTGTAAGATCCCTTGGGGACTATTACTCAGTGTTCTTTCTTCATTAACTTTCATTTTGTGGCTGATACGTGCTTCTCACACAGTTCAGAACTCACTCCTACAACACATCAGCCTTTGCTTAACCCCTCACATTTGGGACTCCTTCCAATTTCTCCTTTTCCATCCACCTCACATAGACCTGCCAGAATACTCGGCAATAAGCACCATTTTCATCAGGCCGTATCTCCGTCTGTGGCTCCCATTTCACGTCAAATCCAAGTTTCCCTGCGTGGCCATCGAGGCTGTCTCTATTCCCCACTGCATCCGTCATCCCCAGCCACACAGCCTTTTCCAGCCAGGCTACACAATTCACTTGTCTGTCTTCACGTTTGCCCCAGCCTTTTCCCCTCATCCTAATTTACCTACTTACCAATTCAGAACATGCACTTCTTTCTCCAATAAACCTCGTCCAGCTTGCTCTACCCAGCACTACTGTGCTCCCTACCACCCCCCCCACACACATTTTGCGTTCATTTTGCTCATCTGTGCTTATTTGGATTTGCACTGTAAGTGTTCCCAAGCCTTTCCCACATGTCTACATTATGGCTTCTGCATGGTATTTGCCTTCTCAGAGTCATGGTTCTTGTAATTTGCACCTATACAGAAACAGAATTTACATTTTAATAATAAAGAGGACTACACATTGCTACAAGGTAATCAAACCTTGTTTTGTCTATTGCTACAGTCTGCAGAAGGGATATCTTTTATTACTATTTAAAATTTTATTTAAATAAAACAAATTTGAGTGCTCAATGCATACTAAATCCCCTGCAGAAATTAACAATTTAAACAACTAACAATGAGAGGCATTTAAAAGAATTTGAGAGGGGCGCCTGGGTGGCGCAGTCGGTTAAGCATCCAACTTCAGCCAGGTCACGATCTCGCGGTCCGTGAGTTTGAGCCCCGCGTCAGGCTCTGGGCTGATGGCTCGGAGCCTGGAGCCTGTTTCCGATTCTGTGTCTCCCTCTCTCTCTGCCCCTCCCCTGTTCATGCTCTGCCTCTCTCTGTCCCAAAAATAAATAAAAAACGTTGAAAAAAAAATTAAAAGAATTTGAGAAACATCAGTACATTGTCTGAAGAAGCTAACAAAAGTTGATGAGTGGATAATTCAGTGGTAATCAAAACAAGAGGAGAGGCTTCAAGAAAGACAGGCCACATCAGAAGTTCATACAGCGGGGAAACGCAGAGAGCACCCTATGCCATCTTACAGCTCACATCTCTGTGCCAGTGGCTAAGCGGCACACTCAGCTTACAACTGCCACGCCCACTCCCAAATCACTAAGACTGTATATCCAAATGATCTTAAATTGGTATGTGTTGCTCATACCTGCAAAGTATTCCCACTTTAAGGTCAGCTCCTTTGCTAGCGTGGTCAGGTCTTAAAAACACAGAATTAGGGGTGCCTGGGTGGCTCAGTTGGTTAAGCGTCTGACTTCCCTCAAGTCATGATCTCACAGTTTGTGAGTTCGAGCCCCGCGTCGGGCTCTGTGCTGACAGCTCAGAGCCTGCAGCCTGCTTCAGATTCTGTGTCTCCCTCTGTCTCTGCTCCTCCCCTGATCACACTCTGTCTCTCTCGCTCTCAAAAATAAACATTAAAAAATTGCTTTTAAAAAGAACACAGGATTATTCGGTATGAGCAGTACACATTAGCAAAGTGGTTAGACGGGGAACCAGCAGGAGTGTTTGTGTGTATATATAAAGCCTGCGTATAAATCATCTCTACATACGGGATCATTACAAGGGGAATCTGTGTGGAAAATACAAAATAACAACAGTGACGCTGCCTCTGACGGATCAATCTACACTGATATTTTCACGTCATTTCAGAGAAGCCCTCTTCTGCATCCAGTACAACGTCCGCGCCTTCATGAACGTCAAGCACTGGCCCTGGATGAAACTATTCTTCAAGATCAAGCCCCTTCTCAAGAGCGCAGAGACCGAGAAGGAGATGGCCACCATGAAGGAGGAGTTTCAGAAAACCAAAGACGAACTCGCCAAGTCAGAGGCGAAGAGGAAGGAACTGGAGGAAAAGATGGTCACTCTCTTGAAAGAGAAAAATGACCTGCAGCTTCAGGTTCAATCCGTGAGTACTGTGTATTTGGGATACACCACGTTATGGAAGCGTTTCTGGAAGGCATAGATACTTTGGATTTACAAATAGCTTCATCTTTTTTTTTTTAATGTTTTTATTTATTTTTGAGAGAGAGAGACAGAGACAGAGTGTGAGAAGGCGAGGGACAGAGAAAGGGAGACAGAGAATCTGAAGCAGGCCCCAGAATCTGAGCTGTCAGCACAGAGCCCACGAGCCATGAGATCATGACCTGAGCTGAAGTCTGATGCTTAACCTACTGAGCCACCCAGGCGCCCCACAAATAACCTCATCTTGAAAGAGAAAATCTCAAGTTACTGTTTTTAGTATTTCGCTTACCTTTCAATAGTCCTGTGAGGAAGACACAGCACAATGACTTCCAAATTACAAATGGAAAAGGGAAGACTAAAGCACGTATTCAATAACATCACAATTTTAACAGCCACAAAGGAAGCAGTTTAAAGCGAAAACTCAGTCAATATTTTACCCACTTGCCCTGCAGGCTTCATCCCAGCCTCACAAGGATCATCCTATTTTCCAAACGCAGTGTAGGAGATTGTATTGAAATGAAAGAAAAATCATTACTCTTATTTCTCTCCATCCCTACTGAGATTTAGTTCAATAAACCTGTTTGCAGTTACCTGAACTGAGTAACCGTAGTCTAAAGTAGAGCCAAGTACCCTCTGCGATTCTTCCTTCGATAGAGACCCCAAGTCTTTAGACTTCCGTTTATTATCTCAGGAAAGAGTTGTAATCAGGGTGGGGGACAGTTCTGGGCTCTGACCAAATGTAACTTCCCATTTCCTTGGACCTAAAGCCCACCAATGTCATGAAGAAACCTAAAATCGTTAAGCTATTTTCAGCTTTTCTTTCTGATAACTTCGCTTACATGAAGGTTACCTTTTCCCAAAAGCACAAGATCAAAAGCCTCTCCATCTTAACCTCTCTTCGCAGTTATTATCATCAGTGAATAAATATTTATTGAGTGCATCACTATTAAAAATAACAGCAAAGGAACGCTGGGAAGTCCCCATTATCATCCACTTAAGTGTTTAAACTAAAAAACGTAAGGTATGAACAAAACCAGCACTGAGTAAGAAGTTAAAGAAATTCCCCGGGCTAGAGTAATCTAATAAGGCTGAGCTGATTTTTATTTGAGACCCTTAGTCACTCATAAAAAAAATGTGTGGAGCTATATAGTGCCTCAAAATTGCATGTTCTTGTATATTCTAAAATTCACATTGAGACTAATAGGTGTTCCATACAATGGAAATGAAAATTGTGGACAATTACAGCACTGTTAGGGACTATCAGGAAGGTTGGGAGTGTGTGACAAATGGTGCATGGAAAGGTATTCATAGGCATAAAACTGTTTAAGTTCTTTTTCTTTTCCTTTCTAAATCCAGTCCAGCAACTAGCTGTTTGAGGTGAGCAGAGAATGATCAAAACCAAATTTAACCAATCTAAGTCACAATCTTTGAATATTATAGCTAACGTGTTCCTAGTGATCATTTATTCCCACTCCCTCAACTCCCTATGAGAAAAGTGAGAACAATAGAAATAAAGCAATTTGCCTGAGTTCATCCATACGGAGGCAATACTGAGATAAGAGCTCAGGCTTCCATCGGCCTATCACTCTTTTAGACACTATTGTGTAGTCAATTGCTTCAATACAATCATTTTTCAGGTTAATTTGCTTCTAAATCTATAGTCTCACTTTTAATTAGCTGCATTTCTCTAAGCCATGTAATAATGTTCAATTAAGTTTAATTTACATTCATACTGAAAGAGTCACCAGAATTCAACAAACACTACTACTTTGTGCAAAGAACAAGTTCAAAATCAGTAACAAGTTCTCTAAATATCTTAATGAATCCCTCTACAGGAAGCTGATGCCTTAGCTGATGCAGAGGAAAGGTGTGAGCAACTCATTAAGAACAAAATCCAACTGGAGGCCAAGATCAAGGAGGTGACTGAGAGAGCTGAGGATGAGGAGGAGATCAACGCCGAGCTGACGGCCAAGAAGAGGAAACTGGAGGACGAGTGTTCAGAGCTCAAGAAAGACATCGATGATCTTGAGCTGACCCTGGCCAAGGTTGAAAAGGAAAAGCATGCCACAGAGAACAAGGTATGAATCACACTCTGTTCTACCATATCGAGGTTCTGCCAGCTTAGTAAACCTGCTTTAGAGCAGATACCATTTCTTCTTTAATTTTTCAAGGTGAAAAACCTCACGGAAGAGATGGCAGGCCTGGACGAAACCATCGCTAAGCTGACCAAGGAGAAGAAGGCCCTCCAGGAGGCCCACCAGCAGACCCTGGATGACCTACAGGCAGAAGAGGACAAGGTCAACACGCTGAGCAAAGCTAAAACCAAGCTTGAGCAGCAAGTAGATGATGTAAGTGTGGTTCTGATATCCATGTGAAGGATATTTTTAAATACACTTTCAATGTTTAACATACTTTCCTTTCTCATTAGCTTGAAGGGTCATTAGAGCAAGAAAAGAAACTCCGCATGGATCTAGAAAGAGCAAAGAGGAAACTGGAGGGAGACCTAAAATTAGCCCAAGAATCCACAATGGATGTAGAAAATGAGAAACAGCAACTTGATGAGAGACTCAAAAAGTAGGAACTCCAGAAAAACATCCTGTGTGGTATCATCTTTCAATTCCTAGGAGTACTAATAGGTCTCATTCTTTTGTCTGAAGGAAAGAATCTGAAATCAGCAATTTGCTAAGTAAAATTGAAGATGAGCAGGCAGTAGAAATTCAACTACAAAAGAAAATCAAAGAGCTGCAGGTGAATCATCTAGCCTCCATTTGTTTCTGTACCCCCAAAACCCCTGAGATTGAGATGAGTTTATGTTAATGTATGTGTGTCACCCCAGGCCCGCATCGAGGAGCTGGAGGAGGAAATCGAGGCAGAGCGGGCCTCCCGGGCCAAAGCAGAGAAGCAGCGCTCCGACCTCTCCCGCGAACTGGAGGAGATCAGCGAGCGGCTGGAAGAAGCCGGCGGGGCCACTTCCGCCCAGATCGAGATGAACAAGAAGCGGGAGGCCGAGTTCCAGAAGATGCGCAGGGACCTGGAGGAGGCCACCCTGCAGCACGAAGCCACGGCGGCCACCCTGAGGAAGAAGCACGCGGACAGCGTGGCCGAGCTAGGGGAGCAGATAGACAACCTACAGAGGGTCAAGCAGAAGTTGGAGAAGGAGAAGAGCGAGTTGAAGATGGAGATCGACGACCTGGCCAGCAACATGGAGACCGTCTCCAAGGCCAAGGTACCAAATACCATCTACAAATGATGGTAATTAATAACCTGTAACAACACTCATTGTTCTGTCATTAAACATTGTTTGCCGGCAGCTTACAACACTAATATTTCCTAATATTCTAATATATTCCCTTCTACTTCATTTTTGTCAGTACTTAGTTATGACCCCTTAAGACTATTGCAAAATCCACGTTAAGCAAGCATCAGTATCAGTGGGATAAATGAACAGGCTCCAACGATGACCACTTCAAGGACATTTCCACACTCATTATATTTGAATCCTAGCCTGTCCCATAAAGTTGGTGCCATAACTTCCTACTCACACTTGACTTGAATTTATTCACTCTAAAAGTATTTTAAGAATCAAGTTTTAGGGGCACCGGGGTGGCTCAGTCGGTTAAGCATCTGACTTTGGCTCAGGTCAAGATCTCACAGTTCATGAGTTCAAGCCCTACATCCCCTGTGCTGACCACTCAGAGCCTGGATCCTGCTTTGGAGTCTGTGTCTCC